AAGAAGTCTTATAGCGTTTGCGTTTCTCTTGCTCGGTATTTTAATCGTTTTTTTCGTCACTGGTGGGAAAATTGGTAAGTAGAAGTTATGTTACTCGTTAGTAATCCACATATTTTCTCATCATTCTCCGCGTCTTTACCTCTGTAATTTGTATCCAGTAAGTTGACTCGTAATTATCATTTGAGCAGCAAGCCGAGAAACTTTTGTTCTTGAGCGATCTTAGGGACAGGTTTAATAAATGAATCTTACTTCGCGATAAACGACAGGACACTGTATCGATTTGGATTATGCGATTGCCCGAGTCTTTAAGCAAGTGCTAATTCATTAAACTTGACTAGGAATACACAAGCACTCAGCGAAGGTCAACTTACTATTTTAAGCGCTAAAAACACTAGAGACTTAAAGAAACTACAAACCGTGACAGCCTAATAATTTCTGTATTCATAACCGAGGGACTTGATTTCTGACAGGTCATTTGTCCCTTAATCGATTTATCTTGATGACTTATTGTGGTCACATTCTTTTTATATTCACATCTCGTCACAGATATTGCTTCTTGTTCCACGTCTGATGAAGTTGCCAAATGTGCACACTATAACTTCACTTTTAGTTAGTAGTTCAATATAACCGGCTTTGCGTAGCCTCATTATTCCGGTAAAAGTGAAACCAGGCAGAATAAGAACCGAATAAATGTAATAACGCTGATTGTATGGAATGAATAATTGTTTTGATCTACTTTGCAATCTTTTTTGTTTTTTTCTTTTTGTTTGAATGTTAAATGACGGCGTCCCTTATGGAAATATTTCTGTTTCCTTTATACACTGGATTCAATACACGATAACTTATTATACCATGTAAATACACTTGGGATGAAAACGATACTCACTTTAAGAAATTCAGGCTATGCTCAGCCCTAAAAGTACCAAAAAAGGGGTGTCTAACCTCCTGCCCCCAGCCCTCATCTGACCCTGACCCCATCCATCTTCTAGGGTTTAGTAAGTTTCCAAGGGAAACATTAAAACTAGAATACTAATACTAATAATAATAATAATAATAATAATAATAATAATTATAATTATAATTATAATAATAAGCTTTATTTATCCATCTATAAAAATAACATATACAATGGATTTACATAAATTAAAGGGGAAAAACATTTACTAGGAAATACTATCAAGTGAATTTCTAATTAAGGTAAGTAGAAATATACAGATCACAAAAATGGGAGTCTTGTAGCTCTTGCTCAAAATGAGTTAGTATGTCTTTACGTTCTTGAATTTGGTACTGCTACTGAACCTGGTTTAGATCTTAAGTTATAGCCGTAGCTGGTATTTGGCTTTGTGAGAAAAATTTGATTTGGGTGGTTAAAATCATTCACAAAACATGAGTTTCGCAAAGGACAAGGCTGTATTAAGAAGCCACAGAAAAAGAAACAAGGAAATGACAATGAATGCATGTTATTGTGTGAGCAACCTCTTGATTTGGGGATTTCAAGAGATGTCATGTGGAGCAGCACGCTTAAGGGACGTGAGTGTGAGGGGTGGGAAGAGGAGAAAAGAGGCCATGCCGGCATCTTGCTACATGTCTTCTTGCAGCTTGCTTTGATTGCTACCCAAAAAGGACTGTTGGCCAGAACCTCTTTAGAACCTCTAATTTGACAGGTTCTTGTTGGCCTGAAGCTCTATTGTTTCAGAGTTGGGGTTCATTGTTAGTTTTGTTTGGGTTAGGGCTATTCTTAGAACTTCCAGCCCACCCAAAAAGGAAGAGATTGTTTGCAGGCTAGTACCTGAACAATAAAATAGTGCTACCCTGCCTTGTGATCACCCCCCATCTCCCTCCGCCTCCTGTTTATACAACTACTTTGCTATTAAAACAACACTTTAGCCCAAACTTAATACTCAGTCACTCTCTTTTCGGCACGGCTGTGAATTAAGTGTCAAATAAATCAATGAGTCACAAGTCACCTATTCCTCATTTTAACCCCACCTCTGACCTTAACCTCTAAACCTAACCTGACACAATTTGTCTTATTATAACTCTTTGACTCTTAAGAGTAATGTAAAACAAGCAATCTCAGCCTACCTCATGATGTTCTCTGAAGGTTTCTTTTGAGAGTATGGCCAATCCACCACCAGAATCCTCTCATGATCTGTTTTCTACAGTCTAGTGATCTGTCCTCTCCATAATGTCTTGTTGTTTACAGTCCTTTTATCTTTAATCTGTTAATCACCAATAGCATAGACTAATCATGGAAATGGGTGGTCAGCTAGCCAGGCAGTAGGTGATGACAGATAGCTCTTACAAATAACAATAACTGCGGACTTTAACACTGGCAGGGACAGAACAATAACAGGAACAGACAGGTGTTCAACATCGGTATACATCGGGCAAAAAAAGTACTTGGTAGACATCAACAATAGCAGGTAGCGATAACAGCAACAGACGGAAGACTGTTCCGCATATGTATACATCAGGCAGGTAGTATGTTATACTATGGAACTCAGTGGTACAGGAGTTGTTAAGAAGTTGTTAACTCCATCCATTTCTTAACTGCAACATTTTTGCCAGTAAATTAATTAAGACCTCTTGTTGTTCTTGTTTTTAGCTCCAGCTCCGACTACTGCATCATCACATTTGGCAAATATATGTGTAGGAAATCTGTCAAAGCTTGATTCTTTTTATGACCCAACAACATGCAGCAGACTCGACAGCATTAAACAAGCCATGACTGACCNACTTTTGCCAGTAAATTAATTAAGACCTCTTGTTGTTCTTGTTTTCAGCTCCAGCTCCGACTACTGCATCATCACATTTGGCAAATATATGTGTAGGAAATCTGTCAAAGCTTGATTCTTTTTATGACCCAACAACATGCAGCAGACTCGACAGCATTAAACAAGCCATGACTGACCCAAGGCACATCAGAGCAGATCAGATTGTCTTTGCGATCCGTTTTCCACATCCTGGTCTTTATATGTCAAGGTGGTTCCAGTTTCTTTCAACATCAATAAGACTGGAGATTGAATACAATAAATTTCATAAGTATGAGAACAAAGGTGAGTGTTAAACATAAAGTGCAAACAGTCAAAACTGCAAGGCTCTGGCAAAAACCATTTATGTATAAAAATTCATTATGCATCTTAACAATTTTCAATATTTTTATGTTAATAACTATGGCTAATACTGGACATGCTGTTATCTTCCAGATGGTGTTCTTCCTACTCTGGAATTTTATACTCACCTGGGTTACAGGAGAAAAGGTGAAGATTCTTGGAAACTATATCACAAAGGACATGAAAATAGGTCACTTGACTGCAAGTTTTTTCAATCAACGGTAGGCAAGTTTATTGGTAAATCAGTCTTTCAGACAAGTGATAGGATAAAAAAACTGCAATAGTGAAAATGAAAGATGATGTCTGTTGTATGGTACAACTTATTTGTGGTTAGAGTATTATACTTCTGGAGTCCTTTTCTATTGTTATTCTTTCAAGATCTTGAAGGTTGTATGAGAGATCGAGCCCTATGAAGTCAGTTTTCTTTGCGTCATTTTTAAGGCATTGAAAGGAAGTAAGAGGAAATTAAACGTAGGAAAACAAAACCCCATTAAAGAACTGTTCAGCACTTTTTCAATGCAGTTGGTATTTAAATTAACAAGACTGTTAGGTAAAGTTGAGAAAGGTTAGTTCAATTTTACAGCTTGCAAATGAGAAAGACAGAGAAAGCTTCTTTTGTTGTTTCACAGAGTGGAACTGATGATGGTTACTATAAATGTGAGGAGATGCCCTTCTTTGAAATTGGCAGTGTGCACTATGAAGAATACCTAGTAAATATAAGACTCCCAGCTGTTAAAACAAATGAGAAGATTGGACAAGTGGCTGATATACACTTTGTGGTAAGTTACATTAATAAACTTCAGTCAATATATCAGGGCTGTCACTAAGATTTCAAGTTGCTGAGTATATCCAGTTAGTATGCAGGGAATTTAACAGCTAATAAGTTCTTTTGTATTTAAGACAGAAGCCATTAGCAAATTGAGTGATTTTAATTTTCAGTGGACAGAAACCTTGCACCAGAATATTTTAAGCGATATCGCATTCTTTTTCACTCTTTTCAAGGTCTATAGATATTTAACAATAATATTCCTCGAGCCCGAATGGGCTCTGAGTCAATAGTCCATTCGGCCTTTGGCCTCATGGGCTATTGACTCAGAGGCCATGAGGGCAAGAGGTATAATTGTTTTAGTAAAATCCAACTAGTTGGTCAAAAATATCAAGACAAAACAACTTTAGTTAGTTAAAGCTAGACTTTAATCCTTTTTTGCCGCCAAAAAGCCGGCGCTTTTCGCTACTAGTGGGCTATAACATATAGCCTAGTAGTAGCTCCACCAATCAGAATGCAGCATTGTCAATAGACCACTAGCCGGATTTTACTAAAATTAGTTACCTGTAATAACACCAGAGACAGTTTCTCACAGGAGCCCAAGAATATAATTATTGTCAAATTTCACAAGAATTGTGAAAACATAGGTAAAATTCTGAAAATTTCATGTGTAAGATGTCATTTTGTAAAATACAACATATATTTTCTCGGGCTGCCATAAGAAACTTTCTTTGGTGTTATAACAGATAACTAATAATAGATGTAATTATTACATCTAAATTTTAGCCCTTGAAAAATGTAAAAAAGAATGCGATATTGTTTAAATTATTCTGTTACGAGGTTTTTGTCCACTGAAAATTAAAATTACTCGATTTCCTGATGGATTCCGTCTTAATTCCTTAGCAGGGGTTCATGCTTTTAGTAGCTGGGGGGAAATCTCCAGTCCCCACGCCTTAGTGACAGCCCTGATGTACAGTTGAATATGTTGTCATTCAACTCTATCCTTCGTTTCAATATAATTTTAGTTTGCTTCAAACTTATTTTTATACATTACCATATCCAAAGTGTAAGGATCAAAATATAATTTGCAGGATCTTATAATTATTCCTGAAAGGGATGTTAATGCTATAAAGTTTAACTCTCAAACAGGATCAACTGAATCTTTCAGGTTTTCTTCAGACCAATGTGTGTCATAATTTAATCAATATATGACGTAAAAGGCTCTCTTGTTAAGCCCTTCCACCCTTATTTGCCAAAACCAGCTGATAATACATTGAGAAGTTTATTTCCAGCCACTTAAGGGCTTAAGGTATCCTTTCAATTTCACTAATCTAATATCTTATTATTTTATTATTTAAAAGGAAATTCACCAAAATGGAGGTTTTACCAAGGTGTGGTTTACTATCAAGACCATTGTTTCACCGATTAGCATTATTATACTTCTCTGGTATGCCAAAAAAGTGAAAGGTCTCCACAGAGACCCTAACCTTCTGGAAAAGTAAGTTGACTAAACTAAAAATGTACGTGGTGTTATATTTTGCTTTCAAAGTCAGTGTCTTAGGTAGGCTGTCTGGTTAGCTCAATAAGATCTCACCAGCACTCAGAATCTTAAAAAACCTTAGGCCCCGTCCTTCAGCTCTTTTACTATATTTCAGACAGATTCTTAGAGATGGTAAACAAAGCCATGGTGCTGTTTGTTAATAATAGGGGATTAAGACTCTGGTGGTGTGGTCAACCTTTATCATGTCATTTTGTGCATCTGTGTTTGTGAATGTGCTGTAGCAGGCCATCAGGTTTCAAGCTGCCATGTATTATATATAACCTGCTTTATCATAACTGATGATGATGATGATTGCTATGATTACCATGATCACTGAACAAAAACTCAACCCATTAAGGTGAAGATATATTTAGATGATGCTTGGAATAATTATGTTAAGTATTTTCTCCTCTCTAAGGAGGTTTGTTGCCCCAAGTTTTAAACTCAAGTGAGCCAAAATAACCATTTAGTTATTTTGATGATTTCCGATTATTTGACAGGTCACTGTTTGCTTTGGGAATTGTGACAGCATTTATGGATTGTAAGTGTTTCAATTTTCTAACTATAGTCACTGTGGAAGCTCTGTAAAACGAAGAGCCAAGGGCCAGCAAATATGTTCACTATACTAAAGTTT